GGCCATTTATTTCTATCTAGAATGATGTATAAATGAGCGTTCTTGCTCATTTTGCCTCCGAGAAATGAACCTATTCACAAAATATTAGTGAATTGATATTGTATATCGACAAGTACTCGATCGCGTGGAAATAAAGCGATCAAATAGTTGATATTCCGACTTTCCATATATCAATGAGTTCGAAGTTTTGCTTCAGACTAAAATGGTTTCGGTCCCTGAGGACAATTTCGATCATTTAAACGTAAAGAACTGCTGACTGCTGGCATTATAAAAATAAGATGCCCGTCATTAGAGTTTCTACTAACTAACTACTTGGCATAATTCTGAAATAACCAAGAATTTAATATATGAAAATAATAGGAACATAAGAACAAGGAGAAGAAGACGGTTCAAAGGAATTTTGCGAATATTAAATTCAGACTGTCGTCTTGGATGAGAATAAGCCCTTTAATATTTGAATAAAAGATTAATGAGATTACGGTAACGTACATATTTTTAGTTAAATTGAAAACATAGTAATTAAAATGAAAATCTTGACAAAAAAACGACTTACGGCTTCCGTATGAACTGGATGGACGCTGAACATCAAGCCAGCCAAAGTGGCAAAAGGTTGCTGCATTCCCACGATGCTCAAACATACTCTGGTGAACAGCAGGCACGCCACTGCGTGCAGGGCTACATTAGTTAGGTGAAACGCCACTGAGGTCAGACCAAAGCACAGGTAATTTGCTCTGGAAATGATAGAAAAACAATTGAATTATAGGGTAAAATATTGTAATTTTTCCAATATTAATGGTTGTCTTTATGGAATGAAAATAACTCCTGAACCGTGGGAAAGAGGTCCCGGAGAATTAAGTGTTTAACTAGAAAAACATTGGATATTTAACGTTTTCCAACTGTCGTTAAATTTAATATGTGTGTGTGTTCTGTTTTGGTTACGGATAGAACAATTTTAAAATGCTGAAAATACATAGTTGAAACCAATTTATTAGAAATAATTGACATCATTAATCACAATCTAGCATAGACCTGACGCGATACATTAATGCCTCTTCTACTTCCTCCGCTTCGTAAATTTTTTTTCTTCAAATTAAAAGCGCAACTTTACGTAAAATTAATGACGCAATAACACAAATTTAACAAACTTCTCGACAGTCTGGAATAAATGCAAGGAGTTTATGATTTATTGTACTACGAGCGCACATACTGTGGGGTTTCTTTTCCTGCTAGCTGCCGATCAGGGAAGGAGGGTACTTTCTTGAAATTAATCACAAATACGTATTCATTTTTTAAATTAATCACAAAACGCCATTTAAGCGAATGGAGCAAAGGAAATAAAAAGTGTTCCATTAGAGGTCGAATCTGACTGATCAGATCATTATATTCGATATTGAGTTTGGTCTTTAATAAAATGTCGTTTACCGAATGGCAGATGCAATTAAATAGACTAAACAAAAGCTCCATAGTCTGACGTTCCAGAGGAATAAGGAAGATCCGTAACCGCAGTCCTAACGAAGTTGGCAACGAATTCATGAACGATTAAGTCTTTGCATGGAACTTGATAATTGCATTTGAGGAAGATATTAGGGAATTTGCGGTATTATCTGCCGGAGGCGCCATCGAAAGCGTTAATTACGTATGGCGACGGGTTCGGGCTGCATATCGCAGTTATCCAATAAGTGTTTTCAGAAATGAATTGAGAATTAGGAATCGAAAATGTGCCACTATATTAATGGTCAATTTACAGCAGTTGAATTTTTTAAGTTAAATCCATTTGGTCAGACTCAAAACTATGCAACTTATTTCAAGTCCTCTATTGTGGGGCAATTTACGACTTGTGGATTTTTTGTTTGCCCCGGCTTGTTTATCCAAGCCGAAACAACATTTTGGGGCCATTTTAATATCGGGATCGGCGCAAAATATTGACAAAAATTACGAATTCGGCCTTCGTTCGAGAAAAATCTCTAAAGCTGCCGCATAAATAGCGCGCTTTATGTATGCACTTCTGCCTAAACTCTATCATGAAACGAAGCAGTGGTACATTTCGAGGGCTTTTAAAGATATTAAACCAAGACACGCGTAATATGTTTACACATTTTCTACCTGGCATTAAAGTGGTTTATTTATATTCAGTTTAGTGTATTAAATTAATAATACTCAGAAACTAGCTCACTCACTCACTCTCGCTGGTTGATTTCACATTTAATTGAACTTATAGCAAATACAATACACAGCTGCCAGTAATAAAAAATGCATAAAATGAGCTTTGGAAAACTGAAGCGGCCACGTTCAGGAACTTCTTAGTTTAGATGAAATGAAAGGCCCTTCTCTAATCTAATCACGAAAACTTTTTCGAATTGCAAGTGCGCATCGGTCTTTTAGAAGTCCATCCTCATTAAGGAGAGAACAAATTTAAAGCGTAGAAAGAGCAGCAAAGGAAATAACACCTCGAAAATCCGTGCAAACAACTTGATGTAATGAAATTTAGAGACCAAGGCGGACTTGTTGTCACCTAATTTAAGTCTTTGAATCATAGCGATGCCAACTCAACTAGTTTTCACTAATATTTTTCTACCAAACAAGTCGAAGCGCGTTGCTTCATATTTAATATGTATGCATGTGCATTAAAATACTGTTTTCGAAATAAAAAGGGTTTCTTTTATTTTCACAATTTAATACGTGATGACACACGCTTCAGTATTAAACGTTCACAATTATATAACTCCCTCGATATAACGTTGATGACCTTTTGCCGATCAGTTTTAAAGTTTCTCGAGAATTGGAAAAGCTTGAACTGAAATTCTATTGCAGCCATAATTATAAGGTTTTTAGGGTAGGCCTACTGCAGTTTGCCATATAATTTTTTTATATTTAATTTTTCAGTTGATTTGATCTAGAGTTGTGAGATTTTTTGCTGTTTTTCACGTTTCTACCAGAGTTAATTTTAGTTGCTCTGGTGTCTCTAGCCATTAAGGTTGCTTGAAATACTTACACTATTAAGCAAAACGACACAATGAAAGATAAATTGTCATGTTTTATTAAATGCTACTAGATGTGTAAGGTTAATGGGTGCTCTATGTCGAAAAAAGTTCCAATTAACCTTACTTGGGATAGAAAAGAGCTCCTAACTATCGCTATGACTTTTTGAAATAATAATTTCTTTTCTGTCTCTTGTGATTTACCAAATTATCTCCTTTCTTATAAAGCCCGGCTGCATCTGAAAGGTGAGATTTTTAAATTCGAGTTTCTTTTTGCTGGATGAATACGTCGTTTTAATGGCAGCAATTAGGATTTTTGTTCGGACGAAAAATGAGCCCAATGCTTATTTCTGACAGAAAAGCAAAAACTTTTGAAAATGACGATGTCTATTTTGGCTAAATGTTACAAAAACAAAAACAACCATGCATGCAAGTTATACATGAAATGTGTGTTTTCAAACCATCTGATTTAGAACTGTATTCTAATCATATAATTTCATTTTAGATAAAAAGCACAAATCAGGAATTTAAAATTTGATTAAACTTGTCGATCCCGACGATTTAACATCGCACTTAAAATATTCATTCCATTCTGGAAACTTTGGCAAAGTTTACCCTAGTGTAAAAAAGAAATTGAAAATCGTTATTTGAAACCTAATATAATTTCCGGATTCTTCGAAGCCCGGCTAACATAAAATTCCGTATTCGCTTTCGTTGTTCCTTTAATTTAAATTCGAATCAGTTCCTATCATTGCTTTAATTTTCCGAGAGACTTCTGCTGTCGTCTATTTTTTGGTCGCCCGCTGAAAATGTCATGATACAAGTAATGGAAGTTTAAAAGAAGTATACAAATAAATAAACATTTTAAAAGAACCAAACCACATTTGAACTATCCAAATCTGTTCTTCAGTTGGGCTTTATCTCAATTTAATACTCGTACTCGGTACATACTGAACTGCCATTTCATATCCGACTGCAAATTTTTACAGCTTTTATATAATTTAGAACTCCACCAAATCCTATTGAACGTATTTAACATTTAGTTAAAATAACTCATTAGCTTGTGAAAACAACGAGAACATAGACAGATAACTTTTCTTTCACATTAGAGAGCCACGTGGAAAAGTTCTCCTTCCGAGTAGACTAATCTGTTGGCGAAATTCAATCACATAGTTGCACGAACTACGTGAATCTAAAAACTAGATTCCCTCGAACTTCTTAAAGTTTTTAATGGATCTGATAGAATCTTGTCGCTTTTTCAGACTAGACTTTAGCCATTGCGAAAATCCAGAAATTTAAATGGAAAGTGGACTATGGATTAAATAATTTAATATATCGATTAGGACGAGAGCTTACATGATAAATGTATGCAAATTGCTGTTGAGAGACTTATTTTGGTTGAGTTGCTCTCATTAGATAAAGATCGCCGCTTTTACAGATGGTTCAATCCTCAGGGCTGAACTCATTTTAATGTGCTATTAACTGTTCTACAAACTTATTTCATGTGTATTTATATTTTAATAAAACAAATAAAAATTTTGGATATTGATAATTTAACGAATTTTGACAGTTTTAATTAACGATTACTGATATACGAGACATGCCCGATATGCGATAATATATCGAATTGAGCCATTCTAGTTTTAGTACAGAAAGAAATATCAACATCATCCTGCGGATATTCACATATTACATGGACTTCAATGGAAAAGAACTTGAAATGAAACATACCATCTACTCGAATTCATATTTTTGGCTCAGAAAATAAATGGAACAATGAACGAATAAATTCCCTAACACACAGTCGTTAAACAAATCGCACCAAAGTGAAATATAAAACAAAACATAATTAACAAGAACGGGAAAGGTGAATTAAATTAATAAATTACTGCAAATTAACAAGGAACGCAAACAAAGGCATTCGTTTAAAATGCGTTTCGTTTCATGTGATTTGTATTTAATTCGTTTGAATATTTAAAGAACACTTCGTTGGAAATGCGATGGAAACACTACTGTTTATGTAGCTTGTTTGTGTGTCAAAAACGAAAACGACTAGTACCAAAAATGCACAGAAATTCTCCTTCGTGAAATGTAGCGCGTTTTATTTAGTAATACTCTGCGGTAATTACGACAATTCGAGACCAGAAATTTGACTTTAAACATTGTTCAATTTTTCTCGGCAACATTTATTTAAGCGTTGAAAAGTAAAAACATGTATGGGTTGAAAAGCGAGCGCTAAAAAGAGTTTAACATGAAATGCAGCGCTTCGAAATTTAATATTTGAATTGGCCCCGACGAAATTCTGTTTGTCTTCCAGTTTTAGTATGCCCGAAACAAGATTGTTATATTTAACTTTTAGTAGCGGAATATGGGAGAGATACGGTTGCCTAGTCTATACGGCAAATACGGCAAGCACACCGCTTGGTAGCAAAATCACATATGAACAATCCGTTGCGAAGCGCAAAATTGATCGACTTTATTTATTTTGAAACGTTTTATATGGAACATTTGTTGATTTGTAGATTTATTCAATTATTTATTTATTC